AATCTTTTTCAAATTTCTAAATTAATCGTCCCCAAGCATAGAAGTGACTTCGTTTTATTGAAGGCTACTCGACCCTGCGCTATCCTCTGCTTTATATCCCTACTACTCCTTCCGTCCTGACTTATCTGACTTCCTAGATACCTAAAATCGGCCACTTCTAATTTTTCGTCTTATCTTTATATTCTCTCTTTCCCTACTTTTTCTTCCCTTTGTTTTGTTCGATTATGGTAACGTGCCTATCACGTTGAGGTGAGCTACGCCGGGATTAGTTTCAGCAAGTAGATATCCATATTTTTAAATGGACCTTGTTGGAGCATACGTAGTTCTCAAATGTGGCATCGTACTACAGATGGCGCTCACCACGCCATTTGTGGTATTTTCGAAAACGCGCTGTTAAGACAGCAGGTAAAGGTTTGTCTGTGTTCTATCGGAGCTGCCTGCGACGCGCTGATGAGATCCGAAAAGATCGAAATCGCGATCCGCGTCTGGCAGTTTCGACAAAATACAGACCACTTCGAATTATTTAGTTTTCTTCCCTTGCATACCAGTATTTTTGATTTACTTTTATTTATTTTCATACAGTACTGTTTTGTCAATACTACATCCATTTTATTTAAAGCTATCTCTAAGTCCTCCTTGTTAGATGTTAATACTGCTATATCTTCTGCAAATCTAAGCATACTAATCTTTTGCCCCTGTATATCTATACCTACAGTTGTACTGTCTTTAATGATGTTGATCGCGTCTTCGATGTATCTATAGATTGTATGTATGTAACGTAGCACGTGTCTGCCTCCACTGTCGTCATCGTAACCGAGATCCTAAATGATATTCGTTCTTTTTATTTGTTTTACGTGTTTACCTTTGAGTGCTTGTAAAATTATGTTTTATGTATGTTATTTTTTATACTCTACATTTAATGCAAACTTATGGTAACGCTATAAAATAACTAGTGCCTTTTGTTTTACAATACAGGTAAGGCAAAATGTTCCACAAACATAGAAGTACGTTTCTTTGTCGGAATTTTTTCTCTTTAATGAAAGAAAATATTGAAATATTACCAAAATCTCAAGTAATAATCGCAAAAAATTGGTTTTTCTTTCTCCTCCATCTCGTTTCTACCAGCATGATGTAGGTTACTAAAAGGAAGGTAACCACGCACCTATTTATACTCCTCTTTTGAAATAATTTTTGTATTTTCCAAAAATCCAATGTAGATCTCCCTCCACCCCTCTTTATTCCTGCTTCTGCTTTTAGTATGTTTCCAACTGTATCTAACTATCTCTCCTTTTCCTCATTGTTTCCTAAAACTCCCTTTACCTATTGTTCCAGTACCTCTTCATTTCTAATCTTTTCTATCCACTGAATTTTCATCATCCCCCTTCCTCATCATAAGGTCATCAGTCCTAAGACTGGTTGGACACGTACTTCCACTCTTTCCTATCCTGAGCTAAACTTCGCATTTCCCTAAAACTACAACAACCCACATCCTTAACTATTTGTAATTTCGAACAGTAATCTAATTCAGATCTACCTCTACCCCTCCTAACTCCCGTTTCTGCCTCTAATATGTCTCTGACTAGACCTTCATGCCTGAGAAGGTGTCCTACCAACCTTTCCCGCCTATTTTTTATTGACTTCCATAGAGTCCTCTGTTCTCCTATTCCTATATGGTTTTTTTTTCTGATTATCAGCCGCCGTTACCGTTCCTTTCCTTAACAACATAAAAAAGAACAAGAATGTTTTAAGAGATGTGTAATTTTTTGAACACTTCCAGCAAATATTCATATTCTTGAATCTACAATGCATAATTGAGGTTGTCACTTTTTCTCTTATTATGATCAATTATTTTTGGATACATAGATATGATAGAGACTTTATCGCTTAACAGTGTAAATAGCTCAGTGATTATCACCTGTAATAGCGGCGACCGACCTGTCCAGGGTTCTATTCCCGGCTACTCTACAATACCCTTTTTTTCTTGCCACTGGATGGGCTGGGTAACGCTGGGATTTGCGACTAATTGTAATATATGTGTAAACAACCAATTGGCGGATGCATGGTGTACTTAACTGATATGAAAATAGATTGAGGTATTTTAAAGGTAAATATCTGTTCAATCGTTTGGAAAATTGACTTGAAAATGAAAAATCGACTCAACCGAGAGCGTGTACGTTATATGTATGAAATGGCGGGCGCATAATTTTTACGTTAAAGCCACAAATTAGGTCTGTTATCGGGAGCCACTGGCGTTTTCATTGCGGTTACAAACGTTTTTTCGAGACCGCTTCCCGATAAATTTGTAATTTATATGTATACAACTTGAACGAATGAATTTTTCACGTCGTCAATGTATAATCCGATATCTATATCTTATGGGGGAGAAATTCCTTTAGTAATTTTATCACTGTCAGAGGTGCGTTTGATATATGAACGTACATTAACCCATATAAATGCCTGGAAAATATCCTTTTTTGAATAAAGGGATATCAATTTTATGGGATATAAAGTTAAGGGTAGTTAACTCCCTATTACGAGGAATTTTCAATACCGTACAGATTACTTGAGATTGATAGCCCCATGATAACTCTCTGTAACGAAAAGACCATCGTTTCTAACAAATCAATGGCAAGTAAACAAAAGAAAAACATTAGGTTTCAATCAGCGAGACTTAAGATACAAGGTCTGGTCCACGCTGCTAACTTCACACTGTTGAATTTTGGTAGCCGTGTGCCCGCAACATACGTTTGTATACTGAAATTTTACTCCCAGTGTGTAACTTCAAAAAAGTGCCCAGAAAAATAGCCACACTCTAAATGTCTAGCTGCTTAGTAGTATCCGGGTCCAATTAGTGGAGATTTATGTCTAGCATACCTTGGTTCCCGGGTGGAACAAGGACTCTGGGATTTCTCCTCCGTTAGACGGATTTGTCCCAAGAAGTCGCTTCTGATTCATGAAAGTTAACGGAGCTAGTAACCACCAGGTTCAGGTCTGCCCAAAAGTTTAGTATGATCAAAGTTGGGAACTACTACCTCCTCTGCGTTAGATTTGGGTTCAGTAACATCACTCTGAGGACCCTGATGAGGTTCCTATGCAATTACCACTGAATATATGGGTGAAAGTCCCGAAAAATCCCTATTTCAACGTTCAAGCTATGTTGAGCATATGGGTACTGAACCCCCTACCGGGACAAGGTGAAGTTACTAATGAAGATTTTTCGTGCAGCATCTGTCTTAGTAAGGCTTATCCACATGCCAAACCAGCACAATTGTGCCAGGATGGAATGACTGGGACTGCCAAGGTGTTCCCTCCGTCAGACGGATTGTCCACAGAAAGCCACCGGGTGCCTGAGGGTTAACTAGGCGAGTAACCACCAGGTTCCGGTCTATTCAAAAGTTTAATATGTTCAAGATCGGGAACTACTACCTCCTTCAGTTCGATATCAATAGGCGGAGGAGCAGCCGTCTCTAGGCTCCTGGGCACCCCCCGTCCCTGAGATGCCAGTATGGGCATTCCGGTAGCCATCAAAAACTCCGGAGCACCTCTGGCTTCTGCTTCCTGGCTAGTGTGTTCCCTTAATGAGACGTATTACCATCAACCCATGTCTCCGCCCGGTGCACATCACTATGCCTTAGGTATGGGTTTCAGCAACATCACCCTGAGAACAGCTGACAAGGTTACTATGCAATCACCACTAAAAGAATGGGTGACCGCCTTGGGAAAATCTCCATTTCAGCGATCAAGCTGTGTAGGACGCCCTGGAGTTTCCCCTGCGTCAAACGGATTGACCACAGGAAGCCACCATGATGCCTGAGGATTAACGAGGCGAATAATCTCCAGATTCGGATCTACTCAAACCCTTATGCGTTCACCTTGAGGACTTCGCAACAAACCGAACGCCCCGTTGCACAACCCCTTAGCCCAGTATGCGAGCTGTTAACCGACTGCCCCCTCGAGTCCAGTACTATTTGGCGGAAGATGAATCGAAGTTAAACTCCTGAGAACCTCTGCCCCATAAGGACCAGTATAGGCACTCCCGTAACCATTAGCTACTCTACAGTTTCCCTGATGCGTTAGATAGCACACCTGATTCACATATTGCTGCGTTATTCAACATGCTTCTCTCATTAGAGACCCATTGGTCGTCTGTGTAACCCTACCTAATGCATATTATTGTACCAGGACACGTACTTCGCCTTGAGCATAAACATAGAGATTTCTTTTTTTATATTTTCGTGGAAGAGGGGAAATCATCAAAAGACACCCAGCCGTCCGTACGACTGGGTAGTGTCGGATTCCCTAGGAAGAAGTTCTCGGACCTACCGACTAAAACCCCTCTACCTCAGGCCGTTCTAGAACCAACTAGGGTCCTCTTCAGCCGAAACATTGAGAGTCGGCCACTGCCTTTTCGGCGCCTGTCGGAATTCCCATGTAGTTGCTACTGAAGGTATCGATGACGGGTCGATGCCACATGTCGATGTGCAGCGGGCTCACCCCCACGGCTTTTTCTCCTCGGGGCATTGTAGCTTGCTACAGCACTTACACCTGCACTTTACCTCCAGTTGACTGTGGGGTCCTTTAGATTCACCATATCGTATGTATGGGTGCTGGGCCCTTACACCACCGCGACAAGATGAGGACTCCTGAGGGGGATAGCAGAATGCTTTTACATCCGAATAGTATTCATGTGTGGAAGTATCCGGATACTTTTTATCTTTCCACACAAATCTATTATTCCGGTGTTCCCTGTGTTACAGTAAGGGAAGGAAATGTGTACTTTTTTTGATGACCATTAAAGCTAATTGTCCTTACAATTTCGCGATCATTAAATACGCCCTAAAGGAGGTCTATTTTCTTTAAGTTATTCAGAGTGTTTTGTATCCATTTACAGATAGTTATTTTTCAGTACATGCCACTACCTACCATGTTAAATCATATTATACTATCTGCTCGTTTTAAATTAAGCTATTGTTTTTAACAAATTTCTTCTTTAATTTCAGGTTACTTACTTTTTAAAGACTTCTGTGAAAACGTATCCGAAGTGCCAATACCCGAGCTGGCTTTTTATGAAGAAGTAAGTTATTTCTGTTGCATGTTCAATTTTTTTTCTTGTTGTAATTTTCGCAAAAGTTACACCTCCATTTGACGCAATACCTAATGCAAAAACCGACATGCGTCATCCATTACATACGGCACTAAAACGAATGGGGCATATCAGGCCACTGCTGACCAATCTGGAAATATAGAAATTATTCAGTAAACAGTTATAATTTAGATTAATTGAAGGTAAATTCAACTGGTTGGCTCATTGTGGATCTTAAGTTAAATTTCATTAACTACAATTTTGAAAATCTTGTTTCACATGAAGCCACTGAAACGTAAATAGTTAAGAAATATTTTAGACACGTAGTAGACTCATTGTCAGAACTTTTGAATTTCACAATTCGCAGATTTTGGTTAGATTTGAAGCAATAAGTCCTTCTGCTGATATAAGCAGGACAACATCAAATGTTATTATAATGTTCGTGGGTTTAACAAATTAACTTTTAAGAAGAAAACTATATTTATTTACACTAATTATTATTGAACTTAAAAAAAAACTATTAAATTATTACTAAACTTAGGTAATTATTCTATTTATTTACACTACTGTTACTATTCACTGTTCTATTTATTTCACTTCTATCACTGTCAATTTATCTCTTGATTCACTTGTGCAACGGTCAATTTATTTCTACTCTACTCGGCGATCGTCTCTTCCTTTAAATACTCTTTTAGTTCCTTTCCGGAACATTCTCCAGCCGTCCAGAGAAGTCTCGTTTCCTTTGAACGGTTTAATTGCTTTCCCGGAACGCAGATGCGACACACACGTCCACAGATACGGCGCACATGAAGAAATGCGCCCGCGGCTAGTCGGCAAACCGATAAGCCGCTCACACACACGTATGCCCGATCGCACACAATCACGCTCGTGGTCGCTACATTATTATTATTGAGATGTCAATAATTTGTCATCTATTGCTTTGTAACAATGGCTCTTTTTTCAAGTACTAAAACCAAAGAAGTCACTGATAGTTTCCTCAATTGTATAGTCACAGTACGTAATAGTCGTGGATACTGTCAGAGACTAACACCCCTTGGTACACGGTACCCGGGAGGCCCCCCATTTTGGTTAAGTTAGGTTGCCATTAACTGTACAAATATCAATTCCATCTTGAATACCCTGTTGTCACTTCACTGCCCTTATTTTTTATATTACAACGCGTTTATTTTAAACAAACGATTCTCGCATAAGTCCACGGAATCTTTCCATTTTGTTTTTTTCTCTGCGAATGCGTATATTTTTAGCTATTAAGATAAATTTAAAAAGTACATTCAAAGTTAAGTGATCAATCAGTTCTTTAATGTTAGTTTTTTTGTGCGCCGCCGTTCGACCGAGATGTGTTTGCCAAAACGTTTGTTTGAATAATAAGACTTATTAGTTCACCAGCGTTTTCTTACTACGCATCGAGAGTCCGTCATCATCCTGACTAATACAATGTGTCCAGAAAGAGTAAAAGGTATTTGTATCTGCGCTGTCTTTGTAATCGCGGGGTTCGCAGGGGTTCGGTAATGACCATGGGAAGTGTTTTTGCGTTCGCAATGGTGATCCGATGATCATAGTTAAACGATTATATGCACCGAAGGACGATACTTTCAGAAAATAGATTAGAATTTTCGACTGTAAACATTCACGATCCAAGTCGTTCGCGCTCTGTTCGAACTCAACAAACGATTGAATAAATGAGAGTATCAATGCGTGAAAATCCGTCTCAATCAGTTCGCAAACGCAGTCAAGAACTTGACATTAAAAAATCGCCGTTACAGAAGATTCTGAAGCAAGATTTACATCATACAGTCTACAAAATTCAGTTAGTTCAAAAACTGAACGTTACCGATTATCCTCTCCGACTGAATTTTGCAAATTAAACGCTTCAACGCTTTCCATCGTTTTTGAAAACATTCTGTTTAGCGACGAAGCGAACTTTCACTTAAATGGTCACGTAAACAAACAGGACTGCCGTTACTGGGCCAAAGAAAATCCGAGACGTAAACATGAATAACTACTACATACTTAGTCCAAAAGTTATTGCGTGGGCAGCCACGTCTGGTGAAGGCATCATTGGGCCTTCTTTTTTGGGAAACCGGCGAGGGTGAACGTTTACGGTATTGTGACAAGTTATGAAACTTTTTGGTTCCACAACTGCAAGAGTTTGGTAGTTTTAATGTGGAAAGATGATTTTAATAAAATGGGATCACTTGCCACACCTCAAACTAATCGCTTGCCTTTTCCTGGAGTCGAGACACCATCAGCTGACCTCCGAGAAGCCCCTATCTCACACGTCCTGATAATTTTTTATGGGGATACCTTAAAGAGAAGATGTATGCGAATAAACCACGATCTCTACTCCAGTTGAAGCACAATGTCCACACCGAAATGGCAGCCGTTTCCAGAGAGATGTGTTGACGCGTGGCGGCTAATTTCCGTTTTCAGTTGGGAAAAGTGCGAGAGTCAACATTTGGACATCATCTTTGGCACTTAATTTTCCAAAACTTTGTCTAAAAATTAACAATTTTTTTCTGATTTGTAGTTTTTTTTATTGAATTTACAGACACTCCGTACCCTTTCTGAACACCTTGCGTGTGAGTTTGTTTGTTCATTACCATTTCACGTATCAACCACTCAGCCGATCGTCATGAAATTTTGTACACACATTGTCAGGGGTACATAAAAGGACATAGGGTACATTTTATCTAGGAAAAAGCTCTGTTTCCAAGTGATAAATAAATTTCTTTTCGTCTCGATAAAGGACAGTAGACGCAAAGTGTAGGTATGTTTAACCTAGAAAATTACAAACTTTAAATTTATCAAAATCTTGTATTTTCGGTGATCTTTGACATCTATAGGGTTTGTCCAAAAAGTAATAGGACTGAGTCGATTAAAAAAAATTTATTGAGCCAATCGTTACAATTCTTTAAAAACTTTCAAAATAGGCTCATTCTGCGTCGGTGCAGCGCTGCCAGCGCGATTTCCAAGCATTGAAGGCGTCACGGAAGGCATTCTCCGGAATAGCCTTAAGAGCCACGGTACATGCTGCTTGGATCCCCTCTGTCGTCTCAAAATGCTTGCCTTTCATCGGCCTTTTCAGGCGAGCAAACAAAAAAAAGTCCGGGGGGGGCCACATTTGGGCTATAGGGCGGCTGCGGAAGCGTTGGGATGCCGGCATTGGTCAGACAACTGTCTACAAGAAAGGCGGTGTGAGCCGAGGCGTTGTCGTGGTGCAACTTCCAGTCGGCTGCGATGTCTTGTCGGACCCGATTGACCCTTCGTATGACTCGTCACCTGTGATTACGTTATTCAAAAGTTGGGGGTCACTTTCACACATGTTTAAATTTTACCGAATCCAGTCGGTGCGCGCATGCCGTAGGTAAAAGTTAACGATAATTTGACCTAAATTTCACTATATTTGCTGTCGCTATATCAGTTTCGTCGTAATATCCGACATCGTTCTAAACGGTATACGATACTGTACTTATAAAGCAAAATATCTAAATTAAAATTATCTCAGTTATACGTATTCACCCCTTTATTAAACTTTCGTCAGGCCTTCAGACGACAAAACTTTCCTTCATTTCTTGGTCCAAATGTAGGTCAGCACGAAATTGAGTTTTATGAGTTATAAAACTTGTCTAAACTATCAATTTATGTACCCTTTTTTTATCCCTCGTTTCTTGTCGTTTCGTATTGTGCATGTAAATTCGGCTATCGCGTGTTGCCTTTCCATGTTCACCTAAGACCGTTCTCATCGGGATCAGAAAGACAAATATTTTTCGGAATTTCTCTTGTTCTTTTTATTATTAGATAACACGGAAGGAGGCAGTCACGGATGCTGATCACGTATGGAGAAGCACATCCAAGGATTTCCACTTCTTGACCTTTCTTAAAAGCACGCGATATGCGACCAGAATCAGAACGTTCGCCAAGGCCGATCTTGTTTTGCACGGTCGGACTTATTTTTTGCTTATTATTAGATTTTCTTCTTTCAGAAGAAGATGGGACAGTTTTAGGGATAAATTTACAGGGTCAAAAGATCAGCATGCTTAGATTTGCCGATCATTTAGTACTATATATATATGTTAGGCCCGAAGACCGAAAACGCTCAGTGGCCGGAAAAAACGGCCACATCGCGTTCTGGCTGCCTTCGAACGCACAGAACGCGTTTTGGCTGTTTTTAAACGCTCGCAACGCGTTCTGGTAACTGTTAAACAGCCGGAACGCGTTTTGTCAATTATTGAACGCTCACAACGCGTTCTTAATGTTCCACTTGTATTATTTGCCGCTTTCTACCTGCGTACAATGAGATTTATATTGTGCTTATAAAACAAATGAATTTCAATCCATTTTCCAGTTTTTAGGAAACAATTCATTTCTTGACAACTATAATTAGATACCAAAGATGGGTTCGGTTTTTCTTGCCGAATCATTTCAATAATATAAAATTCCTTATAATTGTTTTTCAGTTCTAGGAAGAAAGTTACACTGAACACTTATATTGCAGAGCATATAATATATGATTTATAAGTACAATATAAATCTCATTGTACGCAGGTAGAAAGCGGCAAATAATACAAGTCGAACATTAAGAACGCGTTGTAAGCGTTCAACAATTGACAAAACGCCTTCCGGCTGTTTAACAGTTACCAGAACGCGTTGCGAGCCTTTAAAAACAGCCAAAACGCGTTCTGTGCGTTCGAAGACAGCCAGAACGCAATGTGGCCGTTTTTTCCGGCCACTGAGCGTTTTCGGTCTTCGGGCCTAACATATACATAGCCGGACCAAATTTGGACAATTCGACACCGTTGTCGATGGTGCATATTACTCACATTTTAATCAAGGGGCCCTCGCAACCCACTTCTTTAAGTTATTCCATACAGCAAGGTCACTCCTTTAACTTTATCAAAAATGCCGGCGTTTTTTGCAGGCAGTCACAAATCTACTTCATCGAGGGTATTAGAAAGAATAGGGGAACGGAG